GCGCGGCGCGGGAAACGGCGGGAAGGGCGGTGCGGTTGCGGGGAGGGGTTGCTGCCCGTTCCGCGGCGGGCGGACGGCCGAGGAGTCCCAGGGATCGCACTGGGAGAGCCGTGTATAGCACATGTCCCTGGACATAGGTGTCTTTGGAGCCCTGTGTTAGAAGCTGCTTGGCAGCAGTTCCCCCAGGGAGAGGAGGACGTTACGGTAGGGAACCTTGTGTCATGGGGGAGGAGAGCGGTGCTGGTGTTGAGGGGTCAGGCCAAGACCTGGGGCGTGAAGTCAGAAGGAAGTCATGGGTGCGTATGTGGCTGTTGTGGTATTTGTTAGTTTAACTCCAGCTGCCTCCCTTACAGGCACACAGACGAGCCCATGGCGTCTCCGGTAGCTGGATGCGTAGAGATGAGGGTCAGCTTCAAGGTGTGTCCTGTGAGGGGACAGCGGCATCAGGGAGGGGTCTGGAGGTGTTGCGTCCATCCTCTCTTCACGCCTGGAAAATAAATGTAAAAAGAAAATGGACATGAAATTGTATGCGTAACTCATTTATGTTAAAAGAAAACACGGCTTAAAGGAATGGCTGTGGAGTCTCTGCTCCAGTCAAGCTTTGCAGATGGTGCTCTAAAAATGCACAGCAATACATTCAGATTACAGTTCAAGTTGTATTATGCATAAACATTGCACATTGTATTAGTGGGATAAATATGACAACTGCATGCTGGGTTATGAAAGCTAAATTGATACTCTCCCTCCATAGTCTGAGCTGGGTGAAATGTTAAGTGAATACAGCTTGTGTGAATCAAGCATGATTTCTTTCTAACAGTCAGTTTTTTGTATACATACACATGCGCATGCACAATCATCATAGCTTGTCCTGAACAGAATTTCAGATACATATATATATATATAGTAAATTAGTGGACCAAAATCATCCTGAACGGAATTAGGAAAAGAGAAGCAGAAAAAGATGCAACTGATTCTGATTTATGGTTATATATAACAATTTGTGTACAGTCTTGTTTATAAAATGGCCTGTTATTTATCACAGTTTTGCCAAAGCAGCATAATAATATGAAATTATTTTTAATGTTACTGGATTTGCATATATGTGGGCAAAAGCTGTAGTATTACTAACTCAGTCCACTTTGTTAAAAAAAATCTTAATTTGGAATAATAGGTATGTTTTAAAGCGTTGTATCAAGGCATATGTTTCCCAACAGAGTGAAATACTTTTTTCTAGCTCTGGAAGCCATGCAATCTGTTGGAGCAGATTCCTCTGCATACAGATAGGCCATGTTTCATAAAAAATCTAATGTAATAACTGCAAGAAGTCTCAGAAAGTCCACATTTGTATAGTCTATGTGGGAGCTGAATAAAATACTTTGGAAGCAGCTCTTAGTGATGTTCAGAATTTGCATCTTCTATGGTTTACTTCTGAACAAATCTGAAACTTGGCTTTGAGTTGATCAAGAATCCTAAAATGAGGGATCAGTCTTTAAACAAGCTGTTCACTTCAGTGCTTGCTGACAACGTGGCTATCTCCTGATTCTCTAGGAGCATTGATGATTCAGGCTGCAGTCCCTCCCGGGGTCACTTCTGCACAACACGAATCCATATTGCCTCAAAGAGGAGAGTCTCGCTCTCCCTGTTCCACTTCCACTCATTTTTGGGTCCTAGGATT